AGCCAACTTCGCGCTTCCAATAAGAATTTTAACAATTCGGTTATTAGTTGCTTTATGGTACAAGCATTGAATAATTACTTATTCAATGGTACCTACAAGCATAGTGTAAAGTCTTTACACTAAGCTACAAGTGAGGAAAATGGAGCAGATATATAAGGGCTCTCTAGCCGATATGGCACACAATTTTATTTTTCACTGGCAAATTGACTACATATTTAGTACATTTTCAAGAAATTAATGGCAATGTCATTAGCTTGATTAATAATTACGTCATTAGCTTATTATAATAAAAGGCATGACGTGTGCTTAATTAGAAACATACTGGAATCTGACATCAAACACGTTTCCTTTGTTGTAATGCGCAAGGACCGCCTTGCACACTAATTACCTACTTAGTGCACTTACTACAAAAATATTAAGTACGTCTAAATACAGTCATTGTACCTATGCATTAGGTATCTACGAACATATTATAAACAATAAAATCACAACACGCAAGTTTGCCATAGTTTCTTAAACCCAAGACTAATTATTAAGCACGGTTTTGATTGTAATTCTAGGAATTTTGGTATAATTCTGGTAGCTACACATAATATATGTAGTGACCATTTTGACTCAATATAGGAAAAACCAGGGGAAAAACACATACGTTAGGTATTGTCACATTTGTATTTTGCATGCTATTTTCTTAATTAGTTTATATAAGTCTTTTGTTTACCATTATTATATAAATAAATGTACATTTTTGAAATATTTCCCATTGTTCTCATGTCATCATCAGCCGTTGAAATATTTAATCGTAATTTTTCTTCATTTCAGTTCCTAGAATTACTCAAAACGATATAGGATTTTAATGCTAAACAGAATACGTAATTAATTAATAATAATTGAGCGCTCTGCAATCTCCATTTTAATTTGGGTGTGACAAAGGTGAGTCATTGACTCATTGTTTGCAAATAAGTAAACATTCAAATGAAGGTAAGAGGCTAAACGTATCATAAAATTGTTATTATTATTCTTATTAAGTGGGAAAGGCAAAAAACAACATATATACTGATTATAAATATATCTACTAATAGATGAGGGGGTCCTAAAGTAAAGTAATCTAAGAAGTTCATTTAGATGTTTGAAATCTCTCGCCAGATCAGCCTACAAGGTCCAGAAATGAATTTAAAAAAACCTCATTGTGACTGACACCATTAATACTTTCTTGGGTCAAAAAATTCAAACTTCTGAGTTGTCACCAAATACCCCTAATCATTATAACTGAGCATGATCTAAATTCTCGACATCTAGCCACCGTGTACGAATACTATTCCAATAATCAAATCCTTTATTGGGAAATCGGCCCTCTAAATTATATAATAATAATTTTACTACGAAATTTTAAAAAAATGTGCAAATTTAGAGCTAGGGTTACACTTCGTATTGGTTCTGTCCATTTTTCAGTATTAAAAGTGCTTATTTTTCCTCGAAATAAACGAAAATTATTCGAATAGTCAACAGGAAACATTCACTTTGTGTGCGGATGCAGGATGAACCTACGGGAACCCTCGTGACTTTGAACAACTGTATTTCCCCAAAAGAGACTTCCTGGTAGGCTATTCTCGGAAGTTATACCATCAGTAAAAAATAACAGCAATTAGACCCGTATATCACCTTCAAACGGTGTAGTAATTGACAAAAGCAGATTGTTGCTCTACACTCCAGTTTTTCGATTTCATATACAAAGGCGACGCCGGAAAACCCAAGTTTCCATTTAAAGATTTTATTCACGATGCTTTTTTAATGCAAAACATGAATGGACCATAATGCTACATTTCCTATAAGAAGCCAGCAGAAAATATTCAATGCATAATGGAGGACTTAACATAATATTCGAACATTTAAATTAATGTTTACAAATTAATATTTGGATCTATTGCCCTATTCCTATCTTCAAGGTAGCCGGTAGGTATAGATCGTCAACAACAAAAGATCACTGCAAAAAATCGGTTCTCTTCAGCTAAACCCATTTTGGAGCACCTACACATTCTGATCACAAAAAATTGATTTATAATCATGGAAATGAAATGCCTATTAACAAACGTGTCATTACCAAATAATTAATAAGTCATCCGTAACCTTAACTGAAATGTAAATTAGGTGTACTACTATTATATTAAAATAATAACCATAAAGTAGGTAGGTAATTTAAACACAAAGATCATAGCGCCCCCTCCTTTTATTACCAAAGTAACCAAATCGTTAAAATCTTTGTTATTAGGTTGCTTTAATTCGTTCAAGGGCGACTAAAATTTTTAAATACGCATTTTTTCAACTCGGAAATATGGTAGAAGGCCAGCTGATAGGTGAAACGTTTTCGAGGATAAAAATAAACAAATTAACTATAACCAAAAGTTGCGTTCAACGTGAGAGATTTTTTTAACAGAACCGTTTGAGTTATTTTTATAAAACTTTAAATTGTAAGAATGTAGTAGTCGAAATAGTTTATTATACACTTCTCCTTCTCGACAAAACAGGAAAAACAAAAGTAATAACTTTCTTGTGCAATACACTATTCTTAGATATAGACGTAGTAATATTACAAATTCCCAATGTAGGCGTGGAAACCACCAAATTGCACATTCTCATAATCGCCAGAAATTCAGAACCGCGTACCTATCAGTTTCTTCCGGTGTTGCGAAATTATTTTTACCCTTCGATTCATGTTTAAGATGATACAATTAATATTTATATACATAATGCCGAAAACTACACATATTCGGGATGACTATAATAATAGGTACAGGGTCAGGATGTAGAATTGGTTTACGGACTATTTAGATATCTCAATAGTAATTTCATTATAGGGAAATATTTTCTCCCCTAATTATTTTACAGCAAAGTTGTAACTAACTTTTTGTAGATTGTAAAATTTTGCGTCTTTTCGTGTGTCCAATTTGTAATTTTTTGTTGTGGGAAATCGGAGAAATTAAGGAAATTATAAATTAGCATTTTGGTAAAAATCGCTCGTGCCGTGAAAAATTCGATTTTTACGCAAATACTAAATTCTAATTTATTAATTTTTTTTGGGTTTCCCGAATTGAAAAATAATAAATGAAGATATGAGCAGACGCATAATTTTTCAAGCTATACAAGAAACCTATTTACAACTTTACTCTAAATTAATTAGGGGAACAAATATTTCGATATAAAGATATTAGCATTGAAATCTTTACGGTGCGTATACAGTTTCTACACACCGTATACCTGCGCTTATGGAAAAGAAAAGGGTTCTACTTACAACTAGTAAACTGTCATTCAAGAACTATTTTGATACCTGTTAATGTTATATAGAAGAGACTTGACGTAATGCGTTTGCGGTAGGTAGGGATTTTTGGGTCAAAATTTTTACTTAGGGAAACACAGTATACACGTTATTGCCAATAGAATTTTCAATTTTCTATGATCCACAAATATGCCTTTATTTACCGCAATTGTTCCTCTTTTTACCTAGTCTAAATTTGGTGTATTGCAATTGAGCATATGAGAGATGCTATACTCGTAGTTGAAACAAAACTGAAAATACCAGTAATTGGTAATACCTACCTAAGTTTTTACAGCGGGTTATGACTTGGCAATGAAGACGATTCTAAAGCAACTAATAAAATAACCCACTGTGTCATTTTAGTATTTGGAGAATAGTGAATGTTAGAAAATACCTAAATCAGACCAAATTACAGACAGATTTGGGATTCAAAATTGGAGATTTGTTTTGATCTTGATGTTATTGTTCATTGCGTGGGGGTGGGGGATGCTTATAAATTAAAAAGTCTAGTACACAGTACCTCCGATAACGATTGCATTGTCCTATTTTCCTTGTACTGTAAAGTCAAGGGGAAACGGACTATGACTATAGAACATCAGAATGAGGTGTGCTAGGTGGCCACTAGAACTGTGGATCGCAATAAAAATTATAGTTTATAGTAGTACCTACTTCAAATTTCATAAATAAAAATGGGGTGGGCTTCACTACCCTAAATTTGTACTGAGGAAAATTAATATTAATTGGATTTGAAAATCCAAATAAAATTTAGGTACCTACTCCTAATTCCTCAAATGTTGCAAGTTATTGCTAATTATTATTTTACTGATCGATTATACTGTTTCACATTCCTTCCATTAAGGAATAATGAGAAAGCCATCCCAAAACAAGTATCTTACGCATTTTTTGTAATGTTGCCGACCATGTGGTACGAAAAATGTATTGTAAAATCTTCCATGTTGTTTGTTTATTATAGTATTTTAGTAATCAGCTATTTTGCAATAAGACTAATTACTTATTTGAATACCAAATTGCTCACATATAAATAAAACAAATATGAAATTTTTTATTTAGTTTTTAACGCAATTATATTATATGCATGTTACCGGTAATCTATATATTTCAGGGGTTCCTAGGCAATCGTGTAATTGAGGGAAGGAAAATTTTTTATACAGGCCCTCCCCGATGGCAGAAGTGGTCCCTTTCCCTAAGCTTTAAAAAAATGCACCCTAAATTTATCACAATCGCCAGCTGTATTTCCTATAAACAAAATCGGAATTGCATAGGTACATTCCCTAGGTATTGTAGGTATAGAATACCTGAATTATACAGATTCCCGGTAAGATATACATTTAAATTTTTCTGAAATTTATAATATTTACTTGATTGTTAAGATGGAAAATATCATTGTAATAGACAATGTTTTTTTATTTAACCTTTTATTTCAACAGATTTTGAAATTACTGATATAACGATATCGGCAAAAACTGTTGAGAAGTAATTAAAATTGACCTCTCGGACATTATATTTTTAATACAAAGAAAAGTTGATTGACAACATTATAATTGTAACCTTGGTACTATTGCACTTCCATAAACATGTGACATGTCATAGCAGATTCTCTTTGTGTTGAATATTACCTACACCTACACGTAGGTTTGTTTGCATCTGGGGAAAGTACCAGTTTTGAATTTAGTAATGGAATTCCTTCTTTCGTCAGTATTCAAATATTTGTTTTCTAAATTGTTGACCTCTTCAGACGAGAGTTGGCATGAGAATACGAGCGTATTTTTAAACTCTAGGGAATCTTAGAAGTCAATGGCAGTACTCCAACGCTCTTCCACCGAATTCGCTAATTGTGATTCAGAAAATTTCTGCAGCAGTAGGTAAACCCCGCAACGCAAACACGATTCGTATAAAACTGGTTAATCGTGCAGAGGCGAAATTATTTTTATTTTCAGCGCGCTGGCGCTCCTACTCATTTGTGTAAACGGCGTCACGTCATCTTCGTAGTGCTGTTAGTGTAGTCATACACTTCTGGTAGTGTGGTGGTAGCTACTGTAAAAGTTGCGTTATCTCGCAATTGTGCAGTTGACCCAAAACAGGATTAAATCGATAAAAGCGGCGCCAGGAGTATTTTCGAGTGAAAGTGTGCAAATTTTCGAAAGAAATGAGTGCAATACCGACACGCAATAGTAACGTAACCGGAAGCTCGCGGTCACCATCTCCGGGAACCCATCCGCCGATTACAATGCCAGTATCTCACGCGAACGCGAATTTGCTAAATCCCGAAAGTTCAAATTTATACAAAAACCGCCGAATTAGTAATCCCGCCGATGCTACTCAAAGAAAAGGTAGTGACAGTGCAATACCTTTAATAGACATCGACAAGCCTTTCAATCCTCCTTTAGCCAATCCAGAGATCGACGACACTCTTGATGACCGAGAAGTGGTAAATGCGCCCTATCCAGGAGTGGACGACGGTTTTTTTTCAAACGGCGATGGGACAATAGTGTTAACCGATCGCGCGGGCGACATGCCAGAAGGTGCAGGCAATGACAACCCCGATGGGGTGAAACGCGGTCCAATGGGACCCATGTCGCCAAACGGCAGGGATAACCGGAATTTTCCAGATTTGGAATTTGGGACTATACCATCAGACCTTGAAAGCATACCTGACATAAATCTCTACCAGCACAAAAAAACTCTGGCACAGGGAATGATGGATCTCGCTCTATTTTCGGCAAATGCCAATCAGTTACGATACGTTCTAGAGAGTGATAGACACCCTTACTTCTATCCGGGCGTTGTTTTAATATCTTTTAGTTTAATTCTACAGGTAAGCGCAACGTCTACTTTTATATTTTAAATGTATGGCATTATAGTAGGTATTTAATTGTCGCTAATTTCCTCCTTAATTTTCAGGTAGCCATAGGAGTAGGCCTGATATGGAACTCACGCTACAATGTGAAGGACGCCAAAGAAATATGCATTGCAAATAAGATAAATAACTTCACAGTAATAGGAATATTTTTAGTTACTGTAGTGAATGTGTTTATCTCAGCTTTTGGTGTTGCAAGTAATCAACCCGTTGTTACTGTAGCAGCGGCGACGCCTTAAGTAAACCTTTTACCCTTCATACAACGAGACTGATTCTCAGGTGCATATTGTAACATATGGGAACCTATAATGATTTATGTATTATACTCAATTAATGTGATATTCATGTTCATTTCGCAATAATGTTGAGTACAAAGAGCAATTATTCATGAGATAAATTCCAAGAAATTGATGATATTTTTTTAAAGCGGTTTATTAAGTGTGATAAGGGACTAGTGCGTATATTTAGACAGTATATAGTTTAATTACACGCGCAACGGTGTAAAGTGGCAAAAGGATATTACTACATAGCAAGGTTACTGTGTAATTGTTTTTTAATTAAACGATATTTGTAATTTCTCTTTTATTTATAGTAAGTTCATAGTGATTGGAGTAATTCCCTAACAGTTACGGGTATAAACAGATGGCCCTGGCATTATAACTTGCAAAATTTGTTGACCAATTACATCTCTAAATGACATAAACAGAGCGCTTATTTTCATTTCATTTCATTTTTAAGTATGTATGTAATTGGCATGGGTATGGGAAAATTCTAAAAACCATTGGGGTAGTAGGTAGGTATAACTGTAGACGTCGCGTAGTACCGTATTTTCCGGCGCCACCTGAAACCTTCCGCCTCCAACCGTGAAGATTTCAAAATTATAGGTAAATGTTAGCACTTTACTTGTCGAATCCATATACCAGTTTCATCCAGAAGCGTTTTTTTTTTAGTTATCTAAAAGGATCGAGCCACGTTCGTGATGCTTATGACGTTTTTTGCGGAGGTATTTCATAGTCAATGTTTCCTATATGACATAGTACTTATGATAAAACTAAATTAAATAATTTTATAAGATATAAATTCTGCATATTGAAAATATGTCGTTTGTTTCTACAAATACTTTCTCCAGCAAAAATTTTCCTTAGATTGTTTTTGGAAATGTTGTTGTGTACCTATTTCCACATTGTTTCTCAAATCACGTGTAAGAAAATGAAACAATTTGGTAATACTAATTAAATCGTCCACGAAATTGCAAAAATAATGAAGCCCTTTCACTATACTGATATATTCTCACAAGAACTGCATTTAGGAATCGCTATTCCAGTTACAAAATGGATACCTACTGGATTGCTTTTTTATGGCTTATAGACTACAAACAAGCATCACAATTGGGATGGAAAACCTAGTAGGAACGGCTACATTGAGCCCTCAACAAAACTTTGCAATGAATTTTAATGTTAACGTTATCTTGAATAAAGAATATACCTACGTACGAGAGGTAAAACATCAAAATGTTATCCACTAGTGAAAAGATAAGATGTAATTTTTTGCACAATTTCTCTGAAGAAACAACCTTATGACACACGGACACACTTAATAAATAAATAACTATTAAAAGTGAATGCCTATCATGTGCCCGAATAAAAATTTGTACCTACTCCCCTAAAACTCGGTAAGTCAAAAAGTAACAAGTTACAAAAGTAATCGTAAACGACTTACAAAAAGCGCTTTTTCACATTAACAATCTTTGTCTGAAAAAATTACTCTTTGACACGTCAATTTCCTTTTGTAAGAGTATCTTCCACTGGAATTTCAGAAGAAAAAATACAGTGTAAGTCTGTGGATGCGTGATCATTTTATAGCGCCTTTATAGCAGCCTATTTTTTTATGTATACGTTTAATATATTCATTTAGGACGCACTTCCCTTAAAATTCGTGGCCATTAGGACTCCGCACTTCTGGAGTTTTTTACGGTCCAGCTGACCAGCGCTACCGCTCCAGGAGGCAGGTTTTGGAAGCAGCGCTCGCGTGCTGTGTCGTTATTCGGTAAAGTGAATGCGCTTTTCGGGCGTAAAACTGATATTCCCCAGGGAAGGCATTGCGGGATTGCGTTGCAGTGAGATTATTTCTAGAAAAGTTAAGGGAACACACTGCGCAGTGCGAACGAAGGGGAAATACTTGGAGAGGGTTGTGAGGTCAAGTGGACTCCCGCGACAGCAAAGAGGGTAGCTCCGTGGAGGAGGGTGGAATTTTCAACCCTCGCGATTCTTGAAATTGCAAAGACCTAATCTTATCAAAATCAAGAATTCTTACCCAAAACCAAAATCGTTAAAGTTTCTATAACACCGGAGTTATAAAAAACTAAACAGCAATAATTTTAAATTAATTTTGTTACGATATAAAGTTGATACATCATAAAAGATCATAAAGAACCGGCGGTGAAATTAAAACGGTTTTCCCTATGCGAGAACACAAAACGGCACGAGGTAACACACAGAATCCAAAGTCGAAGGTATATTACACCACATATAGCTTATGTTCCAAATAAACCCACGCTAGCGTAGTGTACGTATTTTAAACAGATATACGATAACTAGAGCTTCAAGATCTTAGTCCTTTGAGCCGAATCAATTTTATTTTGTTTCACCTTTTAGAAAGTTTCAATTTATAATTACACTTGCGAATTCCGTATATTTTTTCAAACCTTATAACTTGTTTAACCCATCACATCTGTAAGGGTTGGTAGTGTACCTAACTTTCAATCAAAGAATTCAAGAATTTATATGCATTTAGTATTACACGTTAAGTAAGTATTGTTTCGAAAAAAAGGCGAAAGGCCTTAGTAACAAAATATATTTAGCTGACAATAAAAAATAAGTCACCAAAAATATCGTATTTTTGTAATTAACAGGATTTCCTGGAAATCTAGTGCCGCAGAGATTTGATCTTTATTTAAATATTTTGTCTTCTGGCTTTTCGTAAGATTATATGCAACACACATTACAACTACCTATTTTCAAGAATGGGTAGTCAAGTCTCAAGTGAAATGATTAGATAGTATTGAACAATTTTCAGAACTTTTGCAACATATTATATATTTATCCACATTATCAATATATTCTTCAATTACCTATACAAGATACAAATTTGCCTGCATTTCTATTTCCTTTCAATATGATAAGTTATCGCCAAGCTTACAAAATCTTGTTGAAGGTTTTCCTTGTTTAGATTTCTCAAAATTAAATCGTGTTTTTAAGAGTTTTTTCAAACTTTAAAATGTTTTTATTTAAATGCGCTCTTTGAATTAACCCGCTTAAGACCGCAGAAACTATGGTTGCTGGTGTTAGGATTGCATGTTATTTGTAAACAATCAATTAATGCGTATTTATTCAAATTGCAAATTTTAAACAATAACGTCATTTTTGTTTGCTTGCGTCCTGCGTCAATCAAAACCTTTCCCGCCTTTTTGTGTCCTACATAACGGCAACACTGGGGGGTCTACGCACCTTTATAAATCGGAGCAAAGGCGGGAATTTTGGCATTTAACGTTTGTATGGTACGTTTTTTTTGTGTACATTGCGTTTTGTGAAAGTACTTATTCAATTTAGCTAATTTTATTACCAAAAAGACCAGTAAGTATTGCCAGTACGTGTTTGATTGTTTAAATTATCGTTGTTATTCTTGTTTAGCAAAATGCCTTATGTAAACGGCAAAGAAAATGTCGACATAACCTCGAGTCCCGCCAAAACCGTTCTTAGTGAAAATGCGATCAACATTATACACAATTCCACTAAAAAGAGCAACGTGAACGAGCTAAAATCGAAACCAAAGTTTGACCCACAGCTCGAGCCACTACTACGCGATAACCCCAGGCGTTTCGTCGTGTTCCCGATCGAATATCCGGACATCTGGGCAAGGTACAAAGAGGCCGAGGCCTCCTTTTGGACTACGGAGGAGGTGGATCTGTCTCACGACTTGGAGCATTGGAGGGGTTTGAGCGACGACGAACGGTACTTCATTTCGCACGTTCTTGCCTTTTTCGCAGCCTCTGATGGTATCGTAAATGAAAATCTAGTCGAACGTTTCAGCCAGGAGGTGCAAGTGACTGAAGCTCGTTGTTTCTACGGTTTTCAAATAGCGATCGAAAATGTTCACTCTGAGATGTACAGTTTGTTGATTGACACCTATATATCAGAGCCGAAACAGAAGGACCATCTGTTTAATGCCATCGAAACAATGCCGTGCGTCACTAAGAAGGCAGATTGGGCTCTAAATTGGATTGCTAGCGAGGATGCGACCTTTGCCGAACGTGTGGTTGCATTTGCCGCAGTGGAGGGCATTTTCTTTTCAGGTAGTTTCGCGTCAATCTTCTGGTTGAAGAAGCGGGGACTTATGCCTGGTTTAACATTTTCGAATGAGCTGATTTCTCGCGACGAAGGGCTACATTGCGCATTTGCCTGTTTAATGTTTTCACATCTGGTTCAAAAGCCTACAAAAGAACGTGTCACGAGTATAATTCGTGATGCTGTCCAGATTGAGCAGGAATTTTTAAGCGAAGCCATACCTGTCAGTCTTATTGGTATGAACTGTACTTTAATGTGTCAGTATATCGAATATGTAGCTGATCGTTTGCTGCTTGATTTAGGATGTGATAAAATTTATGACGTTACTAATCCATTTGACTTTATGAATAAGATTTCCATTGAAGGTAAAACTAACTTTTTTGAGAAGAAAGTAGGGGAGTATCAAAAGAATGGAGTTGTTGATAACATTAGCATTTCTTTTGATGCTGATTTTTAGAAAAACGTTGTTTTCAACCTAGTGTTTTTAAGGTTTTATAATTAATTTATTTTACCAAAGGACTGTTCTATTTTCCTCGTTTTTTGAATAGAACAACAGACACACTTGTACTTTTACCATATGAGTAAAATGACTGGTAGTTTAATCTACTTAATCTCCAGAGCTTTTTATGTTTTTGTTCCAAATTTACAATACTTAATTACACGTAAGCAGCTTGTGCAGTTAGATTATGTTCGTTTTTGTAGTAAACTTATTTTATATAAATAGTGAAATTAATTTTAAATATAGAGCTTTATTAGTAAGATATCTGAATTGTTATTTATATATTAGTACGTAATAAAAAGTCACTTTTATGAAAATGTTCTTAATTTCATCTCTATCCACATATGATGTGTTGTAACCAACAGGTAGCACATTAGTGCTAAAATCCATGAGGCCACAAAATTTAGTTGTCCTGCTATGGTAAGGTAGCATTTCTAGTCAACTGTTTTTCTAATGTAACTATGATGTTAATGTGCTAAAAAAATCGTCTTAGTTTTTTGGTCTGACATACACCTATAAGTAAAACCAGAGCTGGGCAGAATACTTTCAAAAAGTATTTGAATACTAAATAGTAAATACTTTACACAAATCAAAGGTATTTGAATAATGAATACTTTTAAGTCCAGCACAAGCGGATACTAGATACAGATACATTGAAAAGTATTCAAATACTTTAAAAAATAAGTATTCGAATACTTTGAAAAGTATTTCATTAACTTTGAAAAGTATTCGAATACAGTAAAAAGTATTCAAATACTTGTCCCTCAAATACATTAAAAATTTAAAATAGTATACTAGATAAAAGGCTTAATACTACTTAAAAAATCAAGTTATACTTTGTATGGGGTTAGCTTTTTTTATATTTCTATTGTTATATACAAATTTAAGGGGAGTAAAAGCGTAATATTATTATTATATAGGAGGTACCTACCACCTACCAGGATCTTTCTTATACCAGTTATATCCTTAAGAATACGTGTACCAGTTTTCAAAGCGATCGTACTAGTTCAAAAGTTACAGCCCTTTGAATTTTCTTTCGAAATTGGTTTCTAGTCTATATAACTTTCGATTGAGAAGTCTGATCGAAAAAGTACGAATTGTTTTGGATTCTATACGCACCAAAAGTAATAAGAAAAAGTGTTTTCTCGAGAAATGTTGGTGCAGTCGATTTTTGGTAAAAAAAGGAAGGTTGTACACTGCCTTTTTTTGAGGCCAGAAAAAAAAATTGTCTCAGATCGACCCGGAAAAAAATTTTCTTATAAAATATGGCCTGTAGAATCCATAAATTCAAACAGTTCCAAGATTGGGCTACTAGTTCAAAAGTTACAGCCCTTTGAATTTTCTTTCGAAATTGGTTTCTAGTCTATAACTTTGATTGAGAAGTCTGATCGAAAAAGAACAAATTTATTTGGATTCTACGCACCACAATTAATAAGAAAAAGTGTTTTCACGAGAAATTTTGGTGCAGCCGATTTTTGGTAAAAAAGGAAGGTTGTACACTGCCTTTTTTTGAGGCCCGAAAAAAAAATTGTCTCAGATCGACGCGGAAAAAAATTTTTCTTATAGAATGTGGCCTGTAGAATCCACAATTTCAAACAGTTCCAAGATTGGGCTACTAGTTCAAAAGTTACAGCCCTTTGAATTTATTTTCGAAATTGGTTTCTAGTCTATAACTTTTGATTGAGAAGTCTGATCAAAAAAGTACGAACTGTTTTGGATTCTACGCACCAAAATTAATAAGAAAAAGTGTTTTCCCGAGAAATTTTGGTGCAGTCGATGTTTGGTAAAAAACGAGGTAAAAAAGGAAGGTTGTACACTGCCTTTTTTTGAGGCCCGAAAAAAAAAATTGTCTCAGATCGACCCGGAAAAAAAATGATACAAATATCCTATGGGAAGATTGTGGTATTGGAAATGGGACCTAAAAGAATAATATAATAGGCAATGCAAAAATGAAACCAAGTATGGAACATTGAATGTATAGATATAATAAAAAAAAATTAGACAATTAGTTTAATATAAAGCCATCCCCTTTCACACCTAAGAAAACTAATATAACAAATAAATCACAATGTAAATAAATAATATAGCGCTTAATCCCCACTTCTAAAAGCCAGCTTTTTCCAAATTTCGCAATTGTTGAGCAAGTTTTTCTTCCTTGGTCTTTCTTGCCTGACTTAGCGACCTAATTTTTGTATAAGATGTAACGAATTTATCTACATCTAAATCACCATTAAGAAACGCTTCGGCTACACGTTCACTGTCACTATTTGAAACTTCAGCCGCCTCTCGCAGCTGTTCCTGTAAATAGAGGAAATTAAACTGTAATATCAATAAAGAAACCTACCTACCTTTATATTCTTTGGTGAATATTTCTCAGATAATGATTGATAAACTAAGTTCAGTCTTTCGTTTTCGTAGGCCAACTTACTAACCAAATCTACCTTTGTCTCGATTTCTTTGTTTAAATGCTCAAAGTGCTCCTTTTTGGACAAATTTGAGTCGGCCAGCTCTTCAATGTTTGATATGAGATCGTCAATCGCTTTGTTCATTTCTTTAGTTTGAGGTAAGTTATCGACGAATTCTGCCTGTCGTTCGACACACTCGTTCATGAACTGCAGCTCATCCAATGTCAGAGAGTTAAGTTCTGGAAATGCCATCGACTGATGAGTGGCTTGCTGAACTGGAGCCATGCTTGGATAGCTATACGAGTAAATGGGACTACTGCGTCCCATTGTGTCACTTTCAACCCCTAAATGGAAATTGTAAAACTAATATCAAGAAGTTGGCGCTAACCTAAGCTTGGTCCCGAGGGGGAAGTCACAGATTGGTCATTCGTCAAAGGAGGTGGATTACGTGCAAATTCTCGAATTATGGCTTGTACTACTCGTCCCAAATCCGAATGGATAGTAAACTACAAACGGGCCCAAACAGTTAAGGCAAAAGCGTTCGTTAAATTTACATTTAAAAGGCCAGGTGCCGACGTTATATCTCCATCTGCGTTAACCCAAGGATGTACCACAACGGGAGAGATTCTCAAAAACGGTTTGTCATTGGGAAACTCAGGTGTCAGCTGGACGTGCAGACAGAACTCCTTATTCGACGCCTTGAATAAAACCTGATATTCGGAACCTTCTTGGATTTCTGTAACGCTGCAGCCAAGTAATAAATCGGATGCTTGCAGGGAGGAGAGTTACGTACTTATCATTGAATATTTTTAACGTGTTAATCTGCTGTTTTCTTATATCAATTTCACTGCGATATAATCCTGGTAACATTACATACGGTGCGATTGTACAATGATGAATAACAGAAAGTACACAAAAAAGTTTGGTTAGAATGAATAAATTGACAACTGACAAGTGAAGTTGACGTCTTTGTCTGATCTATGGTTTTTCTACAGGGCCACTGTATACTACGGGGTGTTACAACTCACACTGTCACCACGCTATGGATATCCAGACATTTCATGATGGCAGGGTAGAAAATGCTTACATTTATCAGAAAGGAATAGAAAAATTGACGAATATGACTAAGACAAACACTTCATCACACAAGGGAAAAATATTTGTTTTACTTCCTGTCACAGTTGGTAAACCAATTTGAAAATTACAATGACAGTTTTGGTGAACTTTCAGTTTTCATAATTCTACAAAAGAGTAGGCAAAGATGCATTTTAAAGGAAACCCCCTAGAGCTATTAAGTACTCATATAAAACTAAAGGCTCTTGAAGTTCTACTTACTCTTTAACAAGGTTCAAAAAACCTCTTAGAGACCTTTAAAATATTTAGTAAATTGTTAAAAACTCTTAAATATTACGGAAGTCTTTTAAGACTTGGCATTTAAAGGTTTTTAAATGTCTTTGAAGACTGTTAACGATCTTAAAATTTTTTGAAATCCTTTAAAACCTTTAGAAGCTGTCAGATACTTACAGAAGCATTTTTTTAAAGAGGCGAGAAAATCTTAAGCACTCCGACGGAAACAATTCGATGCTCTTAAAAAATATTTATGATTCTTAAGCGCCGTGGAGACTTTCATATGTCCAAACTATTAAACAGTATTGAAGACATCATAGATCGTTATAGGTTTTCAAAAGCTCTTAGAAACTATTGGCAATTCTTTCTTATATAGAATGACTTCATTTAAAAAGCTCCACTTGGGCGCTATCGACCGAATTCAGAAGGATGACTAGCCCTGTATAAGAAACGGAAAGACTGCTTATTCATTCTGACGCAATCCATTACCTACTGAATTAATTAAATAAGTTCAAGACTAACTTCATCCATTGAATAAAAATTTTATTCAATATGCTTAATCTAAATTTTATGATCTCAGTTTCTTGGTCAAAATGTATAATACCATTGTATACCTAATGCAATTACAATATAAAGTTGGAAAGTGTGACGTCAATACTTTACGCGCCGAACCACATTTTGTTAATATTATTTGCAGAGATTTAGGGTGGACAACAATCTAACTTTCTGCTAATTGTTTTAAAATTATTACGGATGAATTTTCTCACCACTTTTGTTTAATTAAAGGCTTAAAGCCGATCTTCAAGTTTGTACTTTTTAGTCATTTTATTGTAACAGAACTCTGAAAAGGTTAGTTGTATTTGTTGTATATTTAGCTAGAGGGTAAGAAGCAGCCAACCTACCACTTCCGTCGTTCTTTTGTATGTTCCAAAAGTCTTGAATATATAATTAAAATGATTCAATTATTTGATCAGCTAAAATTTCTACTATTTGTTTAATAGTTATAGCCTTGATGGTTATAGCGGATCGGCAAGATTCAGCTAGATAACTTTCAACTTGAAGCTTCCTAAGAATCAAGTGATAGGAAACCTATAAAAAGATCTTTAGAGTAACTTGAGTACAATTTGAAGATCTTGAGTCAGGTTTACAAGGAGATCGAGAGAAGTTTGTGTGCCACATGAAGGGAATTGAGAACAGTGGCGGATTTAAATTTTTTGCGCCCCTAGGCACACTGAAAGATATGCGCCCCTCCAAAAATAATCTTTAAATTGCAATAAATTTTAAGATTCTAATAAAAATCACATTATAACTTGAAATTCTTAAAACTAATATGAAAAGAAAAACCGTATACATAAGATTAAGTTTTGACACACGTCAGAACTTGATTTGTCGATTATCGTTCTTACATCAGTTACAGTTTGTTTAAACCAGGGTTTAAACTATCTACCAATTCCAATTTATTTCATAATGTCAATTAAAAATTTTGGTCATTCGTAACCTGTTAGGGGACTTATTTTAAAACTTAAAATTTACCTAAAATAAATATACTGCAAAAAAAAATGCCGCCCTCTAAAGCTGCCGCCCCAAAGGCACGTGCCTAGTGTGCATTATGTTAATCCGCCACTGATTGGGAGGGGAAACTGAAGGAAACTTTAAAGAGGAGCTTGATGCGCTTTTGGTGGTAGTTGTAGTTTCATTTTAATAAAGAAAATATCCCAATAATGAGTTCAACCGGACGAATTTAAGTGATATTTTAGATAAAACATCTTTGCTGTAGCCCGTTATTATATTCGATATTAAGTAAAGGGTAGTTCAATAGACCGTGGCCACGAAAAATTATCTAGTTGGGTATAAATTGGAATTATTTGATTTTTTCTTCTATCAATGTATCTAAAACTTTACGGACGGATTATGTTTCCTTTTGCGATCAAGCAAGTCAATTTTCAGAAAAACTAAAAACTTTCAACTTGGTTTTAAAAGGTCTAGATTTTATGCCAAAGAGGCCAACCAGTTGCAATTCTCTCCCAGCCAACCGACTCATTTTTTCAGCAACGAGCTTTGTGACTGTGTACTGTGTCTCCGATTTTTTTACAGCAATAAGTAACAGACCAATCATAACGTATAAAAATGCCATCCTCTCATTCTTCTAGTTCCAAATAAATAGTTTAGAAATCGTATGACGTCAAACTCCAGTAGCTCAGGTGTTAGCAGTTTCTACTAATCTGTCTAGTCGTCGCGGCCTGAACTTCATTGGAAAGTCTTGAAAAAGTAAATTTCACATCTGTTTGCGTCTGTGAATGGTAGATTTCGTATAAAAGACACCGCAAAAAACGTTCGGTCATAACGGAGACAACAATTATACAAGAAACTTTCAATTTCATTTAATTAACCTACCCTTGGAAATAAGTTTAATTAAAATTCCTTTGTCGTTCGTGTTCGTTGCACCCTTATTATCGTGACGAAGTAGTTTAGTCGTCTATAGTTGCGAGTTCGTAATTAAACTAAGAGTGAACTCCAAAGCTTCAGATGACGATTAAAATATGATTCGTCGAGAGGCATTGATAACTTACCAGACAGGTCAAACTTTCAGACAGAAAATTTCGATTGGTGGGAGTCTATTTATTCTGAAATTACGCGTAATTTGTATTAAATCGTTACAGCAATTTAGGGCGTGGGGTTGATTTTTCCTCTACAATATCTATATAGTGATTCTGTTAGGGGAAGATGATACCAACGTATTGAAATTAATGTGCTGGGAGATCAATTCTAAGTACTTACGTCAAGGTAGGGATCGGATTATAAATTAGCAAGTAGACCCAAATATACAGAAAGTGGTATTATATGTATATGCCATAGGGGTAAGTTTCCAGAATTTCTATAGTTAGAAAGCTGCAGGTTTTTCTACGATCACCTACCCACTCACACACCGAAAGCTGAAAGTATGACCTATAACAAAAGTTTCGGCCTTTCATTTCTAAATAATTATCATTTAGAATAAAATTGTCCCAACTTTTCCTCCATGTTTGGTCATTTGGGGGTGCTCCTCAAAAAATGTACTAAAAGGCGCAGTTCCTTTCACTGCATTTACTGAATCGCAAAAATGCACCCTCTGTTTGCTCACTATCAATCCCAAAGGCCCAAATAAGGAACAAATAGGAAGTGAAATGGTTTTCCTGTGAGGAGACAAAAAAACCATAATAGTTAGGTTATAATTTGAATTCATGGCGAGTTAAAAGTGAAAAGGAGGTAGATAATCACTAGCCATGACAAAAATTTGGTAATGCTAACCAGAACCAGAACCCTGCATTTACAAAACGCAGAAAGAATGTAAACATGTATAATAGTAGAAGTATACAATAAACCTAAGACTACCTATTTATAATTACGATCAAAATAATCTGTAAGCATTTGTCTAATTTCGCTGATTTCTTGCTTTATACTTTCCAGGTCTACGTTGGAATTATCGGCTGTCTCGTCCTTCTGCCTAAAGTACCTTTGAACTAACTGAGTCATTAGCAGCGGGAATCCTCGTGTGCTTTGATCGTCCAATTCATTCTCAAGGTAGCAACAATGTCCCAATGTGAAGCGGGCCGATTTTCCCGGTTGACTTTTGGCAAGTGCTTGTAACCAATCTACAACGCCTAGGAGTCCATCTGCAGTCGGAATTAAGTTCAACGGGGATGGAAGAGTGGTTTGAAGAATGTATTCCAAGTAGAATTCCGTTCTGCCAAAACTCCATTCTACGTCCGTGTTATCGTTGACACGTTGGAAAGTGTTCGACATTGTAGCAATTAGCATGTTTAACAGAATTATGACTGTGAGCACTTCGAACAGTGCGAAAGCTATGTATCCAACGGCCTCTGTGAATGTATGCGTGTTTGTTATTGTCGTCCCTTCGGTTTCTCCTGGCAAGTTCTCAATAATGACATCGGCCGATGTTATATCAGACATGCAAAATAACGCCCAAAATAGCGTCTTTAGTGTTGAACGAAAGTCGACAAATGATGCCTGCTGTGCTGTCTTTAAACCAGAACTTTCGTCAGTTTGGACCATTCCCGCATAATACTGATAAAAGTTGCACAATCCAACAGTGAACGCTATGATTACGATTGTAAACATTCCAATATACTTGGCAATGTCCGCGCTCATTTTTCCCAATGAAATCTGCAAGGGTCCCATGTAGTAGTTCAATCTGCACAAATACAAAAGCTTAAAGTACGCCATTATGGTGGCAATGGCGAATGTCCCTTCGGATAACAGCACTGGGTCCAGCTCGTGCCAATATTTTCTCTCCAAATCCGCTTGGTCGTTTGCTTTCTGATCGAGGAACGAGGCAAGCCAAAGCATGAAAGTGCAGACGAAGAGGAAGTACATGATTAAGTTGTGACAATTCCACAGTTGTTTAAAATGGCGCCAAGGTCCTTCGAGTGCCATCAATCTAAAACTGCTCCAAATGTATCCGACAACGTAAGCAATAATAACCGGTTCTAAACCGGAATTTGGCGGAGCCCTCTTCTGGGCGGACTTGTCCAAGTTCGACTCGAAGAATATTAGAATTAAAAATAAAATAAACGAGGCATTGTGACTGATCATTTTGTTGAGGGGAATACTCCAATGCGCAACCATTGAATTACGTGGGGCCACCAAGCTCATAAAACTAATCACTGGCAACATTACCAATCTATAAAATGGATATCCTAGCCGTACGATCCATGGCTTTAATCTCCATTCGTACCAATCACCATGCCACACGGTTTCTAAGATCTGCTGCACGTTTGAGTGCGCAACAAACGCCTTCTGTTTGTAATCTATCGCCAATACAAGACGCGGAAAGCAGTATTGACCAGCGTAAACCATTCCGTTTCTTTGCCGAAGTATTAGCTCCATTTCTTCGGTACTTCTACAGCATCCTATAAGATCAACAGCAAACATACTGACATCCTCGGCCAACTCATCGTAGGCTGCACGAAACTCAATCACAAGTTTAGCGCACCGCCTGAGCTCGTAAGACAACTGAAATGCTGTTAAAATCGGATCAGCTGACGAATGGCATATGTAAGCGGGGTTCGTGACAGCCCTATACAAGTTCAATCGATACGTTTCGGCATGCAAAAGGTCATCACTTTCGTATCTCATCTTGCATTCGCCACATAAACAATCCGGAGAATGAGGCTTACTGATCTGGTGCCCCCTGTTAACCAGCAGTTTGATAATCTCGTAGTGTCCGCACTGGCAAGCTAAAATTAAAGGTGTAACGTGATCGGGAAAGTCCGAACTGTGAGTGACCCCCATGTACTCTAAACCATGCATGGTTTGGCTTAATTTTTCAAGTATTAGTTCAACAATTTTCAAATGATTCTCCCTAATGGCGTACAAGAGACAGTCCCCGATATCAATCTTTTTCTGTGACAGTAAAAGTTCCACCATAGGCTCGTTGTTGGTTTGCACTGCGACGTGAAGGGCGGATATACCTTGGAAATTCGTACAGTTGATTTCAAAATCTGGATTCTCTTCTAGATATTTTTGTACAACAACGACGTCACCGTATGCTACCATATCGAAAAATTTCTTTTCAGAATCCTTAAGGGTGGGTAGCAGAATGCTCGGTCTCGGAACCAGATTTGTGATGTCTTCAGATAGTCTGCGGTATCCACGTGAGATGGGTCTAGAAATGATATCGCTCATACGTCGACCAAATCTGTGTTGCGATAATTGTCTGTAGGTAAGTGGTTGCTGATGAAGTACTTGCTCCTGTTGGTTCGATTGTTGTTGGACATTCGGTAAGGGTGGAGGTTGAGGTACATTTCGAAGGTTTTGACCATCCATATTGGCATACTAGCTTGTGTTTTACTCGTCAAAGTCACAGATTGACAGGTGTCTGACTTGTCATATGATTATGTCAGTGCACCAGACAGCACATAGACTGCTATTCGTCCTAAGTTTCCATACAAAATGGGTAGTCACGGACAGGGGGGTACTGTAGTAGTATGTTACAGCGACTGTATAAAGACAGTGTGGCCATAATGCACCATGTCGACCATGTCTTCTCCAATTTATAATTGAGCCGATTGGTTTAACCAAATTAGTAGATTTTGCTATGGTTTTAATAATGCTGTCATGTGTCCCGCAAGATAATTTCCAGGTTAATGTCTACCAATCCGGTGTATTTGGCCAAAACATGGCGGGTCTCCCAACTACCAATAGAAAATAACACCACCATATGACCACACTGTCTCTATAAAGTCACTGTAGGGTATGTGAATCTCAGGGTAAAACTAAAGTCACGTTACCACCGTGGTCGTCTGTACGTCCAGAATAGGTTTGTTTTATTGGCACATTTATGTGATTAATTGATTGACGATTGTTAATTTAAATGTGGACAGTTTCAAATCAGACTCGTTTTAGCCTAAAACTCACATACCCAGGCGATGTCCATATTTGAGTTGCAATTAGCAGTTTACGTACTATCTAGGCCAAGGTTACAGTACTTGATTAAGATAGCAGATTCTTCCGCCATTTTAGAGTCCACTGAGAGTCTGTCAGACACATCTTAAGATATAGAAAAGAGTATAAGTTGTAAGGTTTTTCAGTAATAAACGTTAAAAAATCAATGGTTTTTCTTTAAATAAGTGGGTTCTAAAATGGCGACCGAATCAGCTATCCTAATACCGGGCGATTCTTGGGAACTGATGATCATTTGAATTTCCCTCACATCAAAAAATTTTTAAAGTACTAACTGATGATCATTTATTTAAAAACGTGAATTCTTCTTTTCTAGAGGATGGTACTGCCCCCCGCGAATGGTAAAACGCGAATTTTTCTTAAATTCTTCAAGACCAATTCCCTTCTTAATTACTGAGTACAATTTTGACCGCCTCCAATAACGGACGATCTCTAAAATAGCGATGCCTAATTGTATTATGGGTTAGTGCCTTTCGTACTACCAATACCTTAAGGCTGTTAAGAATCCTACCCAATTCAAAAAAGCCCGAGAATGTAATTCTTTATCTCCTTAAAGAAGCTGTAAATTGATTTTGACGCCAAAGAAATTAAGAAAAAAAAACCCATTGAAAATGAATAAGTATAAATGACACATATTTTGTTGACCGCCACATTCTTTCTTCACCAAGATTAGTTTGAGAAGACACTTCAAAACCTTGACACTTAAAAAAAATCTAATTTCCTTATGTCTGCGGGAAAAATTCAAAAATTTGCTCTAGTTAGATACAGTACAAATTAAAGAATAGGTCGAGACTCTCTACATGTTGAGTAAAATAGATAAGAAGAAGCATAAAGTATAAATATTTACTATTTATCACCCTTAAAGCGACCACTAAGACTGAGAATGAAAAATTTAACCGAACAAAACAATACATTTTTCAAACCCGCGTATCCTGCGGGATTCCGCTCCATTTCCGTAGGGGATTAATCCTGCGGGATCATTGTATTTCGGGATTCCGCGAACCCGGTATTGCATTCCCTAGACGTTAACTTTTATAAATCGCAGGAAAGCAAGATTTCATTTCCACGACTATTTGTTGTTAACGGTTTTTTGGGTCCTGAACGCTTCGTTTAACACCAAAGGAGAAACTTTCACTAATCAAATTTCTACACCCTATTTACATTAATGTGTGTTGAAAATCAGAAAGTTTAAATAATTTTACTTAACGATTTCTAACGACACAGGTCCGCGTCCATCTTAATACCGAACATTAATAATAATCCTTTGAGATAACGGTAACACTTTGTCGTTGTCCTTGACTGAATATGGGTGTAAGGTATGCAACTAAAACACGACTACTCAACGATTATGTTTTTTTTTCTAAATGCACGATAATCCCTTCTTAGGTGTTCCAAAAGAAACAGCTAGGTGTTAGTTTTGAAATTTCTATGAACGCGGCCACCGAGGAGGTTATTTGCGTGGTTGAAAATCGAATCTCCCGAAAAAATGTTGATCAGTACGATTAACGCACCCGTAGTTCAAACCTGAATGACTTCACAAATCTCTCTAGATTAATTCCTACTTATTCTTTTTTAATTAATTAACGTACTTTTCAAAATGACGTCTAGTAGTCATCCATTTTTCTTTAAGCTCCATTCGGAACTAGACTCTGATCATCTATAGCATCGACGATCGTGACGTTCGTAACCAAAACTACCACAATGCAAAATAAACGAAACCATAACCACGTTTTACCCGAAAACCTTTTACAACGCATAAAAACCAAAAATCGACTAAGAAGACTATGGACCAGAACATTACACCAACTCATCAAAACCCAAGTTAAGTGACTCACACGAAGAGTCAAATATCTTATAATTCTCACGTAATTTTTATCATGGAATTAACTCCTTTATTATAATGACAGAACACACTTGTGTGCGAACGGCACCTTTATTGTGGCATAAATAGCAATATTGGAAGGCATGCTCTCATTACTTAGAAATGTAATATTCTCTGGTACACCTTCCGTTAATTGGAAGCTGCGAGAAGTGCTTGATTAAAGACGCCAACTAACTTCGAAAGGACGTTGTTTCTTTAGCTACTGTTATCAGATATGAAGTATCTACTTATAACTTACACATAGATGCTTACTACATTTACAATTGAACGAACTCTTGTAAACAACAATTACGAACAAATTGCTTCCAATTCAGCAGCTCAAAGAAATCACTTCAAAGGCAATAATTAAAACAACGGCACTGTGTTCCTTGTAGTCAGAAATTTTTACTTTCTTTTCTTTTTCGTAAGGATATTGTTTTATTCCCCACGATATTCATTAGTAAATAAATGATTGTCACTATCACGGTCGTGTTTTATACATCTCCGCCTGGTTTAAATAGACTATAATTAGATCATTAAAGTACTTTTTTAGGACGTTTTCTTCAATACTGAGTTCAATGGCAAAATAAAGCTTGTTAAATCCAATATTCATTGAAAAGTATTTCAACTTTGTTACTCACTGTGTGATTAATGGCAATACGTTGTAAGATAGTACAAGTATGTAAGACCGTTTGGAACTGAATGGTTTTGATTTTGACCACTGGCTGTCGCCAATTAGAAATTTAAGGTCATAATTAAATTATTCTACATTCTACTGGATCGGGGTGTAGATCTGTACCGAGAACTTTTAACTCAGAGCTAGTCAAATAAAAGCGAAGGTACTAAATCCTTCCCAACTACGACCAACCACTAATAAGACTACGTTTCAGTTTCCACGAAGCTGAAATGACCTCATGGCGAATTCGCAGTTGTAATCAAATAGCCCTAATTCCAAACTCCTAACATCTCGTCTCCAGACATACATGGATCTACCAAGAAAACAATGTTAGATTAAGAAATTGCATTTAATCATATACGTACCTCGTATGAATTGCAGAAATTAACCTTAGTGTGAAATATACGCGATGTGGCATTTCAATTTCGCAAAATAGAATCACTTCTGGTCTGAGAAAAAGTGACTCTAAACTAATATTTACAATATTCAATTTGGTTTTGAAATCGCTTCACAGTAAAAAGCAGCTTGAGGAACAGCCAAAGATCGGCTTTATAGACAAGATGTGCGCAAGCCACTCTCCCAAATATTTGGGATAATTTGCTGAGAGAAGTGCTATAACCAAATAATCCAAATTATAGTTACTGGGTGAGCTGAAATTAGAATCCCTGGTCTGAGAAGTTGAAAGTTTAATATTTTAGTGAATTGTAGGTAGTACCTTTCGCAATGAAATGCAATACAAACATAAGCCTAGCAAAATGTTTACTTAATTAGAAAAAGTAGTAGAAATAAATGAAAACAGCTTGGGTTATTTCATTGAATAAAAATAGTGTTTTTATTCAATGGTTATTTGTAACAGCGCATTTATTGAATACAACGCAAGATTAATTGTGGACATTTATACTTCAAGTTTTTGTTAAATCGCAAATGGCTAGAAAAATTTTATATAAAACGTAAGGCAAAAATATTTTAATGCCACTATAAATCTCGATATAATGATGAGATTTACGTTACCTAGATTCCAGCATAAAAGGTCTCGCAAAACGAAAATACTCAAGTTGCTCTGATTATTCTCCTTTTTATAATATTACGTTCAACCATAAATCGCTGGTAACAAGTACAATAAGAAGTGAACGTACTTACCAATTGACAAATAAATTTATAACATAATTACGGAAGTCGTTATGTAGAAATGTTTCTCGTTTCCTAGCGATTTGGCGTACTACAAGCAGTTTTTCCTAATTGTAATATACTGGACTGAAACGGTCATTTAATTTAATTGCTTGATATTTTAGTCGGAATATTAAGTTGATAAACAGCCCATTTTTTAATAAACGTTTTTAGTTTTAATGTATTTGTTAGAGCTTACGTAAAAACGTTTTGCCCTCCATAAGTGACAACTAAGATATAAAGGATTAAGTAGCTTACTGTGGAAGATTAAAGCAACAATGGCTTAATTATACGTTAAATACTTACCAAATAAAAATCAAAATAATGTGACAATGACGTTTGGTGCCAAACAAAATGAAAGAAACTCCGGCGTGCTGGGAACAATCCTTTTTTTTAATGTAGGTATTTGGGATTCTCTATTATATCTACTGTTTAGACGAATAGTTCCAATATCTGGGTATGTTTGGAAAAAAGTGTGAAGAAAGGGTTGGAACTTCCCGTCGTATTAGAGTTGATATTTGGAACTAAAACTGTACAAAATAGAATGAGTCATCGTTTGCCGTCGGCCAAAGAATTATTTTCTTACTACAGATTTTTCCTTTTCCTTCTTGGAAATTTAACTACATAAATTCTAATTTTCTTTTTGACTTTCCAACAACACTAAATGACCACATAACTGTATATTAAAAATAATTTAAATTTTTTTTCTGTGCACTTTTTAGGTAATTTAAATTGAAATAACCACTTCTTTTTGAATTATACATAGCCTGTTCTCTAATTTGAACCAATACATATTTGGGCACCTGAACAAATTTTTATTCACATTTTCATACAGCAGGAAGAAGTGCCGCAATAAATGAACCCTTGAATTTGGGTAATTAATTATGGAAAGTAAAATATGAAATTTTGATTATGAGCCAAACCAATTTCAATATAGGTTCTTCAATTTACACATTATAGTTTATATCAGAAATATCAAAACTTTACGTTAGATTTTCTACAAATTCGTTTTTTAAATTAGATCTTAAAAGCATTCAATATTTACTTTGAATACTTAAAGTAAATGGAACTAACCCTGGACTACACGTCAGCTCGTTCATGGAATAGGTTGATTTCTCTAATTTTCTCCACCATATGTCTCA